GGAATGCATTAGGCAGTGATGTGGTGGAGGCTGACTCCATACACAGTTTCAAGTGTAGATATGATAGAGCCCAATAGGCTCAGGAACCTGTACACCAGTTGATTGACGGTTGAGAGGCGGGACCAAAGAGCCAGAGCTCAACCCCCACAAACACAACTAGGTGAGTACACACACACACACACACACACACACACACACACACACACACACACACACACACACACACACACACACACACACACACACACCAGCAACGCTTCCACTAAATCCTTTCTGCAGCTCTACAAATCCCTCTGAGGTGACCGTATAGCACTGGACCGCCCTGTCCAAACACATGAATGAGGCGCCCAGAAAAACCGCCCCACTCCCCCGCACCACAACGCCACTCCTGCAGTTCTCCACAACCTCACAACCTCACCAGTCACCTGCCAAGTGTACCCGCGCCTCATGGAAAGTGTGTCAAGCGCCAGGGGCGTATTGCCCAACACTTCGGTCCCAAGTGTTGAGACCGAAGCCTTAAACGGTTGAGTGACCCCTCCTGGAGGCGGAATTTTGCGTGCGACGTCATCTAATGGCTCGCTGGGTCCGTTAGTAACGTTGTCATATATTGGCTTTTCTGTCGCTTGTTCGAGGCAATGATTCGTGTTCGGATTCCACGCGTAGCATCTGCGGCAGGTGTTCGAAGGAGTTTCGAAAGTTTTTTGGTTTGAATCCCCGTTAGAAATGTGACTTGCATGAATTGCAAGTTTGATTGTGCAAGGAAACTTGAATATATACCTAAGCAAGTATTCGCTGAATGGTTCAACATACTCAGGCATGTATTCATTCGATGAGTAAATTTCATGACGTGATTGCACTTGATGCGTTCGCTCGCTCGACCATTTATACACGCATAGATGCAGTCCAAGAGACGCACGTAGTGTACACACGCACACATGAAACCCGTGCATACTCCGGTATGCATACACGTGCTCACGTGAGTCGCGGCTTAACTGTACACCCACACGCCTGGACACAATAAACCTTGTGAACAAAAATAAAAGGAATACAGACAGTACAAAATAACTTTCCGTATAACTGTTCTATTAACTGTTAAAAAATATTCCAACATTATTACAGAATAATACAACCCCAGACGTAAAACAAGACGAAGATGACGCAAGTAGGAACACTATCCAAGAATGGCGTTTGATTGACGTCGATTCAGCAATAATTCGGCGTTGAATTGGACTGGCTCTCAGATACTGTGCCAACGGGAACGACGTTTCAGTCCGTTTTGAACCTTTAGAATGATGACTGAGGATGCAGGACGGACCGAAACGTCGTCACTCTCATGGGTCATATGTGCGAGTTTGGACATTTGATCAGGCACGCTATTGTGACCTGTGAAACAAATCTCCCGTTTATTCGTTTCTCTCCATTGCCTCACACCCAAACGGGACTGTTACCGGCCCTGTTGTACGAGGCTGTTTCAAGGGGCTGTTAGTTGTACCAGAGTGACATCCGCCAATAAAGAATTTCCTGTAAGTTTTCTCACTCTGCTGGGTAAGCTTAAAGAGCCAGATAAGGTCGTTTTAATATATTTTGGTGATAGGAGAGAGTGAGAGAGTGAGAGAGAGAGAGAGAGAGAGAGAGTGAGAGTGAGAGTGAGAGAGTGAGAGAGTGAGAGAGTGAGAGAGTGAGAGAGTGAGAGTGAGAGAGTGAGAGAGTATCTTGAGATGGATCGGCAGTTTGAATGCACTTATGTGTTAGGGGTTGAATATAAGAGAGGTTTTGAATAGCAATATTTCTTGATGGTAAATGTCGGATATCATTCATCCATTATTTGCCATCATTTCGTTCCCCTTAAATAGTTACTGTCTCTCTATGTGTCTGTGTTTCTCTGTCTCTCTGTGTTTCTCTGTCTCTGTCTCTCTGTGTCTGTTTCTCTTTCCTTTCCCTCCTCTCTATTTCCTTCTTCCCTCTAACATAAGGAGGACACCATAAGAGGTGTGACTGCAACAGTTCATTTTGGTACGTTTTTACCAAATAGTTGTTAAAAGCATCATTTACCTGGCGTCGCGTCTCGTCACCTCACGACAGAAAGATGAATACGGAACTTGATGCTGTCTCAAGTGTTCCGTCTGCTCCTTAAGTCACCAAACACAGTCATGAGCGGATCATTGGATAACGTAACAATGCTGCACGTTCTCTCGATTTGCCAATCCGTAAACAAATGTAACTGTTTTGCCTTTTGAGAAATATACGAAGCCAATCATCCGGCTTAACCTCTATCGAGACCTGATACGGACACACACTAAATATTACAAGGGGGGGGGGGGGGGCTAAATTTTGACTAATACATCGCATATTTAACATATTGGTCAATTGCGGACAAAAATGCAATGAAATAGGGGGGAGAGAACAGATTGTATAGCCCGCTTTGCTGGTGATCATAATAGGGGAGAATAGAGGCAAATATCCTCACTGAGAAACAGGATGAATGGGCAAGAAAATGGGACGTTTAGGAGATAAGTGAGGAAGGTGGAGGACGGAGAGAATGAGGGGAAATACATATATATGGGCGCATATATGGGGGAATTTAACAATTGTTATCAAGGGCGGGATTAATGAAAAGCCGCGTCTGTAATGGGACTGTAACTATAGCTGTAATATATGGGGCACTAATCTTTCCGTAATGGGTAGGGTGTGTGGCACTGCTGGTGACCTGACGAGGCAGGGAAGTGTAGCTAGGAAAGCACTGTTAGCGGGACAGGTAGACAGTATTAGAAGTTAGTGTTGAGGAAGATGAGAGGAAGACGTCAGCCTTGTGTTGGCTTGAGAGATGGTGGTGGTGGTGGTGGTGGTAGAGATAGTGGTGATGGTGGGGAAGGGGTAGTAGCCTCAAAATAATGTCCCCACGTAGGAGGAAGCCAGATAAGAGGTGCAGGTAACACAGTGGGTAGGTGGGGGGGGCTGGGGCCACTGTCGCCACCAGGGGCCAGATTCATGAAAGCACTTACGAACGTGTACATCTTTATTCAATCTTTGACGGCTTTGGTTACATTTATTAAACAGCTTATAAGCAGGAAAACTTCCCATTCAACTGTTGTTGTTATAAACAGCCTCCTGGTGCTTCGCAGCTCATTAACTGTTTAATAATTGTAAACAAAGCCGCCAAAGATTGAGAAAAGATGTACAGGTTCGTAAATGCTTGCGTAAGTGTTTTCGTGAATCTGGCCCCAGGTAGACAAAGGTGTTACTGGCGGCGCCACCAGGTAACAAAGGTGTTACAAACGGCGCTTGGCAGCTGTCACTCTGAGCGTCGCACATTTTTACATAAATAACTGCACATTTACAATCACAAAGTCGCAAGCGAGCGTGTCCGGCTGTCGACCGCGTGTTCAGATACGAGGGAACAGTTATTCTACTCAACTTTGCATGGCAAGCCCCATGTTACCCATGGGTGGACATACAATCCGTCCCCTTAAAATTAACGTCACTTTTCGCTCATATGCGCTATGGCCAAATTTGGCCAAATTGACCTTGTGACCTTCATTTCAAATTACGTAATTTGAAATGAAATCGACTCACAAAAGTGACGTTCTGTTCCGTTTTCTATTTGAGTCGTCAGGCTTACGCGCAGAGGTTATGAGAGGACACTTTAAATTAACGTTTTCCATAACGTTTTGAAACTTTATGAGAATTTCCTGCCCACCTAGCCTATCAGATGACCCTTAACTTACTCTTGTTGAAAAAAAAAATCCCAAATTTATTTTCATTTTTTTTTCATTTTCAAATTACGTCCAAATTCGGCCATACGGGCAAACGGCCAAAAGCGACGTTCTTTTTAAGAGGACAGGTTGCAAACCATATGGGAATTCAGCTCCTGGACCCTGCCTTTAGCAGTGATTGTGGTGTTACAAAAGCTGCTCTCACCGTCGTGAGGTGTTGTACTGAATGCAGACGAGGAGTCACAATAACGTGGCTGAAATATGTTGACCAGACCACACACTAGAAAGTGAAGGGACGACGACGCTTGGGTCCGTTCTGGACCATTCTCAAGTCGATTGTTGTACTCAAGTGTGGAGAGGAAGGGATGGCCTGCCACCAACAAAGGGAAGATATGGTTGTCATGATTATTCCTGCTCTGCCCGAAACGCTTTGCGTAATAGTGGCTTTAGGCATTGTATGTACTAGCTCCTATCTATAAAGCCAACAAACTTTGTAAAATCTCTTTATGTATGTACCTTTGCCTAAATAAAAATTATTATTATTATTATTCTTTATTAGTTTATGATAAGGATTAGCTAGATTCCTATACAAATGCTCGTTTAAATTGTTGAATAATAAACTGTATTGTATAGAACTGTATCGTTGTATAACATAAAATTGGGGGTGTTCGGCAGCTGTTTATAGTTTTCTACCACAGATTTGGTCATACAGCGCTAACGAGGTTACATTCATAGTCTTCTGTCCGCCACGGACACCTTAGAGACCTGTCAGTCAACATAATGTAGCGAGTCGCTGAGCACTCAACAACAGGTGACTGAAGGGAGGTTACAAGGTCAACCAACATCAACACATCTTCGCCTGTCTTACATAGACTACATTAGACATCTGTTTTCCTAGACACATATTGAAGCGAGTCTATGAAACGTCTTTTAAGTATTGTGAGTAAATATCTTAAGAGGATCGTGGCGGTGTTGGATCCCACACCTGAGAAACAACGAGGGTCCACAAGGGCCGCTTACTGTAACGTCACTGTACCGCTAAACGACACCCGCGGCAATTACAGTCTGGACGACAGTTACACGTAACTTATTGCACAATTACGTAAAATATATCGGCGTTCAGATTTTTTTAGTTTCCAAACTGATGTGAGACTTACAGGCTTACCATTAGGCCGGAGATACGCTTAGGGTTTGGCTTCTAAATCTTTTGATATAACGAAAGGAAATATTTATATAAACAAAGAGACGTTAAAGTAATATAAGAACATGCTTATTGGAGTGTCTTACCGTTGCGACGAGGGTAACTGTCTTGAGAGATCTTGTCTCTGCCTCTCCTCCACTTCCCTCTATATTATCGTCTTCTTCCTTCTTCCCCTGTTCATCCTCCTCCTCCTCAACACTCTTGTCTCTCACTGGTTCACATACTGTCTTCTGTATACTCTGTGTTGACATTGTCCTCAGGCGTTAGAGTACAGAGAGGAAAGGATGAGTCCTTTTTCAAGAACGCTGATTTCTGCACATTTTCCCAGTCGTGAATGTTTGCCACTTCGCAAGCCAGATGGAGTGGGAGATGGCGACCGTTCACCGTTAGGAAGGTTAGGTTGTAAGCGTAACTGTTGATCCTTCCTACACAACATTTGCAACAATACACTACACCCACAACAATCACTTGTCCTGATGGGCGTGACGTTTCTGGTGCTGTGGAGGAGAGTGTTGAGGGGGGTGGAGGTGTGTTGTCAACGGTAGTGGGCGCTACACTGCCTCATACATGGTGTGTGTGTGTGTGTGTGGGTGGGTGGGAGCGTTGCTGCTTCCGCACCATATGTTGTTAAGTTCGCCCCACCTACCACAGTCACCCCTTGTACGCACACATACGCACGCACAAACACGCACACGTACACACGCACACACAAATGCGCGCGGCAATGAAAGCTGAAGTTGCGACGCTAGGAGCAAATATAATTAACACGGACACGCATTCGAACTCAGGGATGTCCTGTTTCAGCCAGTCCTCACAAAGGCCAAAAGTGATGCCAAACACCCGCCAAACACCCGCCAAACACCCGCCAAACCCGCTGTTCATGAATGAAAAACGGTTTACACACGACTCACAACTGCTGACGTCCGAACACTTCCGGAACAATGCTTCACTGATTACCTCTGTTCACCTCTGTTCGAATCTCAACTCTGTAAATGTCAACAGAACCTAAACACCTAACTAAACCAATGCCTAAATACGCACAGTATGCTAAAATATACTAATATTAATTTATATTTGAGAAAATTACAATTTTGAATGAACAGCATTAAAATTTATAAATGTGTCTTTGGGGTCGACCGCTGGATGGAATGAACATAGCCCGAAGACAGGTTGCTTGTTTACAAGCATACCAGCAGGACCCTCCACCACCTTATGCCCAACCACTTGGGCTGGACGGCAGAGCGACGGTTTCGCTTCATGCAGGTCGGCGTTCAATCCCCGACCATCCACAAGTGGTTGGGCACCATTCCTTACCCCCCCGTCCCATCCCAAATCCTTATCTTGACCCTCCTTCTCAGTGCTATATAGTCGTAATGGCTTGGCACTTTCCCCTGATGATTCCCTTCCCCCTCCATCACCCTCCACCAGGTTCCCTCCATGTAGTATTTTAAATTTGGCTAATACGTCGCTTTTTTAACGAATTGGTCAATTCCGTGTGTAAAACTACGTACTGTATGTTTGAGAATAGAGATCGCTACCTAACAGGAAGTTGAGGTTTCTCGTGGAACCGTTTAGGTTAGTATTTAGTCGTTCGTAATATATATTACTTAGGAGTCATTTAGAGAATCCTTTCTCTAACTTACACCAGATTTAGGAAACACGCGGACTGTGTGTGTGTGTGTGTGTGTGTGTGTGTGTGTGTGTGTGTGTGTGTGTGTGTGTGTGTGTGTGTGTGTGTGTGTGTGTGTGTGTGTGTGTACGGGCACGTGGTGGCTGATTATATTGTGATCAGTCGGGCACACACATGTATCTCGCAACAGCGATAGAGGCGTCTGCAACATGTTCATTTGTTGCAACAAACGTTTTCTTGGTAAAGATGAGATTACGAAGGTCGTAGGACACGTTTATGACGGAGTGGTGTGTGTGTGTGTGGGGGGGGGGTGGAGACGGGATCTTTAGTGCCCCTAACATTGCTCCGACACACATAGACGGTTGAACCCAAAACTGGTCTCGTTTTGCATTATTCTGAATATCGTTGCCGGCACGAGAAAGAAGGCAACAGTCCTAAATTTTGCTAGGCCTAGTTTAGCCCGAATGTCTGCTAAATTAGACCTATATCATATATTAGACATATAGGCCTAGGAAATGACACTTTTAAGTGTGCTATTTGAGGGTATCACAGCAGTTCTTTGTTGGGATCAACAGTCCGATTTTGTACGGTTGATGAATAGATGAGTTTAAATGTTACAATTAATCATCCCGTTCTCTGGGTTACCACTCCGTAAAAAACGTAGCGGTTTTTCCTATCTAGAAGCGTCTGAACCTGTGCAACCCACCTAACCCACCGGAACCTGGACTCATTAGTACCAGGAAGCGTCATTATTGCTGTGGTTTTTGTTTTCCCTAAACCGTCGCAGTTTTAACGTGTGGGGCCGGGCGACTGCCTAAGAAATGTTGCGTTTAGTGTAAGAGAATATTGTTGAATTAACGGTTAACTTGTGTGTGTTCACCTAGTTGTGCTTGCGGAGGTTGAGCTCTGTTCTTTCGGCCCGCCTCTCAACTATCAATTAATCAACTGTTACTACTAATTTGTGTGTACTGACGTAATTGTACTCGCCTAATTGTGAGTACCTTGAGGCATCCGAGAAGTGCCAGTACGTGTGTGTGTGTACTCACCTAATTATACTCATCTAGTTGTGCTTGCGGGAGTTGAGCTTTGGCTCTTTGGTCCCGCTTCTCAACCGTCAATCAACTGGTGTACAGATTTCTGAGCTTCTCGAGCTCTATCATGTGTATGTGCGTGCATGCGCGTGCGTGTGCGTGGGTGTGTCCGCGGGTCGGAGCTCCTATCATTATCGCGGTGATTCCTTTTAACTTAAAACTGTCGCGAAAATGTTGGCAAATGAAAGAGCAAAGGTTTTTTGGCGTTGTTCTTAACAAACTTTGTTGGGGGATGGATGGGGGGGGGTTATCTTGAGGCTATCTTGAGGGGGGTACAAGCCTCCCTCCGCTTGCAACATGTGCAACATCAACGCTGCTCCCAGCCCTCGGCTCTCTTGGCTTTAGATCTTAATGCTTTCTTAATTCCTCCTCCTTCTTACTATTTGGGCTTTAACCCTCTTCCTCTGGCTGTATTCCTTGGCTGTAACCTTCACTCTGGCTGTATTCCTTGGCTGTAACCTTCACTCTGGCTGTATTCCTTGGCTGTAACCTTCACTCTGGCTGTATTCCTTGGCTGTAACCTTCACTCTGGCTGTATTCCTTGGCTGTAACCTTCACTCTGGCTGTATTCCTTGGCTGTAACCTTCACTCTGGCTGTATTCCTTGGCTGTATTCCTTGGCTGTAACCTTCACTCTGGCTGTACTCCCTGACCAGTGTATAAACTTCAAGTATGCGCGATCATCCTCAGTTACGCGTAAAAACAGCACCCGAGCGTAAAATTTATAATCTCAAGTCTCCGTGGTGCAGTGGTAAGACACTCGCCTGGCGTTCCTCGAGCGCTTTGTCATGGGTTCGTATCCTGGCCGGGGAGGATTTACTGGGCGCAAATCCTTAACTGTAACCTCTGTTTAACGCAACAGTAAAATAAGTACTTGGTTGTAACAACGATTCTTCGCGGCGGGGATCGTATTCCAGGGACCTGCCCGAGTGGCAACTAGTGGCTGTACAAGAATGTAACAACTCTTCTATATATCTCCAAAAAAAAAAAAAAAAAAAAAATCCATCGTGTTTTTCAAACTGCAGGTAAGTTTGGGTAAAATACAAAAAAAATTGTTTTCCCTTATTGTTACATTTCCTTATATAAAAAAAAGACAATTTAAAACTTCAAATATGTGGAGTCATCTTGAATTATTCTCTTAAATAACACTCGAGTCATAATATTGTAAATATGTTTTTTTTTATTTTTCAAACTGTAGGTCAGTGTGTCAAATGCGAGAAATAGTTTTTCCTTGTTGTTAAATTCCCTATGTTTACGGCTAGGTAAATAGAGGCATTAGATGAAAGAAACTGCCCATTTGATTTTCTCTTCCAGGAATGGAACCCGGTTCGTCGACTATGTATCCGGAACGCTGCCCGCTCGGTCCTGTGTTTCTATACTTCTATAGAAGTTTCTATGTACTCGCCTAATTGTGCTTGCGGGGGTTGAGCTCTGACTCTTTGGTCCCGCCTCTCAACCGTCAATCAACTGGTGTACAGATTCCTGAGCCTACTGGGCTCTATCATATCTACATTTGAAACTGTGTATGGAGTCAGCCTCCACCACATCACTTCCTAGTGCATTCCATTTACTAACTACTCTGACACTGAAAAAGTTCTTTCTAATGTCTCTGTGGCTCATTTGGGTACTCGGCTTCCACCTGTGTCCCCTTGTGCGTGTGCCACCCGTGTTAAATAATCCATCCTTGTCCACCCTGTCAATTCCCCTGAGAATTTTGTATGTGGTGATCATGTCTCTCCTAGCTCTTCTGTCTTCCAGCGTCGTGAGGTGCGTGCTCGACGTGGTTTATGTGCTCATCTAGATGTACGCACTTAGATATACTCAGCTAGATGTGCTTGCAGGGTCGAGTTAGGCTCCTAGCCCCGCCTTCTAAAGGTTTATAGATTAATGCAGTGACTCCTTGCACACTCTTTTTATCATATTTCCATTTAGAATGTTGAGTCGAATTTGCATCATCGGCTTTTGCAACTAACCTTTTCCATTTACTGACAGCTCTAACACTGAAGAAGTTCTCCTGATGTCTCTATGACTCATTTGCGTCTCCAGCTTTCATTTATTACCCCTCATTCTGCTGTTCCTAGTTTTGTACAACGCTGCTTTGTCTGCTTTGACAATTTCCTCAGAATCTCATATATATTGTTATCATGTCCACCCTCTCTCTCCTTTCCTCCAGTGTGGTAAGGTCCAGTTCCTTCAGTGTTTTCTCACAGCTCAATGCTTTCAGCTCCGGAACGAGTCTCATTGTATATCATTGGACCTTTTCTAATTTTTTTCTGGCCTTTTTTTTAGATAAGGGTTCCATGCTGGGGATGCATATTCAAGAGTGGGTCTCAACTTCGCTGTATATAGGGCCCGGAAAGCTCCAGTGTGTGTGTGTGTGTGTGTGTGTGTGTGTGTGTGTGTGTGTGTGTGTGTGTGTGTGTGTTAGACGAATGATGTTTCTGTGGTGTTGACGGATGAGAAGTGGTCGTCTTCGAGGCAGGAAAAAGTTTGTGCATTAACGACGACAACATTTCTTAATCGACGAATGTTGTCGTCGCTGAATCCACGCCCTCCTTGCTTCCCCACGCCCCCCACCTCCCACGCCCCCCCCACCTCCCACGCCCCCCCCACCTCCCACGCCTCCCCCCCCCACCTCCCACGCCTCCCCCCCTCCTCCCACGCCCCCACCTCCCACGCCCCCACCTCCCACGCCCCCTACCCTATCTCCCAGGCCTGGTGGTCCCAGGCAGGGCGACGAGGACTCGCGTGACGATCAACACTGGCGGTGTAAAACACTATGATACTCGGAGAGTAATGGGATATCCTGTGGAAGTGGTGCATGATACGTGA